GGAGTTTGGTGTAAAATTTGGTCTGCGAATTTCAATTTGCTCTCTATGGAGTCCTCGATATAACCCTCGGCAACCGTCGAGGATTTCCAACCTCCATGTCTTTTGAGAGCTAATACTTCTACGCCGCTATTTGCAAGAAGCGTCGCAGAAGTTCTGCGAAAAGCATGTCCAGTGTATTGAGAAGGATTTTGCAAATTTAAAAATGTGGCAATTTGTGCTGGCCATTTTCCTATGGTATTCTTTCCTACAACTTGATTAGTGCAAAAGCCGTTTCGAATTTTTAAGAATAACTTGTTTGATTTTGCGGTTTTTTGTCGTAGTTCGATATATTTCCTACAAATCTCCAAATAATCCACTCGCTGGTCTTCTTTACCAGTGATGGTGAAACTCCTTTGAATATTGGTTTTTGTATTGGGTATTTTAACAAAAATGAACGTTTCCTGATTATCTATGTCTTGTAAAGTCAAATTACATAATTCCTCCCTTCTGCATGCTCCAGCTACACCAAATATCATGCCTATCTACGAAAAAACAACAAATTAATTCTTTGCATTGTTAAAAACACAGGTAAATTAACTCACTTTCAAAATCAAGTATCTATCATCTGGTGCCTCCATTAGAAACCTGTATAAATCCTCCTTTGTGAAAACTTTAGATTTTTTCGGTGTATGGCCAACGTTTTTTCTTTTCAGAAAGGCAATTAAAGTTGCGTATTTCGAAATGTCAACATTTTCCTTCAGAAAAAGTGTCGCCTTCAGCATGGAATACTCAGCCCATAAGCTTCCAGGTGATTTTAACTTCTGATTTCGGTGTACAAAGTATGCCAAAAGCACTTTCTCCGAAACAGCCCAGTTTTTGTCAACGCACCACTTCTTAAAGATTTCAAAGGTTTTTTCGTACCGTTGCCTTGATTTTTCCGGAATCACAGCGTCACAACCAATATTCCAAGCATTTTCCAGTTCACTATCACTATTTTCACTCATATTTCTCCTTAAATTTCAAAATTGCGTATTTGCAGCTTGCAACCGTATTGTTTGAAAGCGAGTTTTGCGTAACTAACACAAATAAACAATTTGAGAAGCACCATAACAACCATACCAACCATTAGAAACAAGTAGTCCAGCCAACTATAATAATAATAATAATTGTTATAGATAATGTGCGGTGGTGGATAACCATGGAAATAAGAGTTGTGATTTTTGGAAGCGTTGCAAATACAAAAGTTGCCAATTTTTCATTGGGAACGCGCCTTTATAGGAGGAAGACAATTCTTCAAACAATCTCGGGCGGTAAACGACACTTACCGCCCTTAATACTTAAATAACTATACCGCACACTTGCAGTCCACTTTACGGCATAGTGCGCGGTAAAGTGCTACTTTCCATTTCCAAATAAGTGCGGTTAAGTGCACTTTACCGCACGCTCGTAGGTGAAGTAACTTTTCAGCACTGAGTAGGCTCCCTACGACACGCAAATGAGTGCGGTGAAGTGCACTCTACCGCACGGCATGCGATAATATTATTACCGCACGCTCTATCCACATAGGTACGTAATACCTTCAGTCGCCTACCAAAGATAAATTACCTACCTATCACCTAAATTCTACTTGTTCACTGTCAAAAGTGAAAGGCTCATTTTTTTCATCATTCTTTAAACTTCTTTTAGATATTTTGTTACCGCATGATTGTAGATAAAATACTGTATGATAGGTATGGTAATTAGGGCTGGGCGATTATCAAAATAAATAATCGATTATCGATTATTTTTTTATTGATTATTAAAAATAATCGATTATTTTCGATTAATCGATTAATCGAAAATAATCGATTAATCGAAAATAATCGATTAATCGAAAATAATCGATTAATCGGAAATAATCGATTAATCGGAAATAATCGATTAATCGGAAATAATCGATTAATCGAAAATAATCGGGAAATAATCGATTAATCGAAAATAATCGATTAATCGAAAATAATCGATTAATCGAAAATAATCGATTAATCGAAAATAATCGATTAATCGAAAATATTCGATTAATCGAAAATATTCGATTAATCGAAAATAATCGATTAATCGAAAATAATCGATTATTTTCGATTAATCGATAATTTTTTTTGATAAATCGTTTTTTTTTTCGATCTATCGATTATTTTTGATTATTCGATTATTTTTGATTATTCGCTTATTTCACAATAATCGGTAGATTTTTTTCTTGGGTTTCATGAAGTAAAAGAAATTCACTTGCCCTTAACCGGCTTGTTTTGAAATAAACTCTCTGGTTACTTTGGAGTTTGAGGCCCGGTTTATTCATCTTCAGATAGACTTGCTGGTTGACAACTATTAGCAAGATCAATTTACCCTTCTATAATTATTGTCTCGGTCGACCAAGGGCCGACCAATGGGATTACAGATTGCGTTATTATCCGCGAAATTGCATACCTAACAGTTTATCAGAAGGTGAATAAACCGGCCCTTAGATATGCAAACAAAAACAAAACATAAAATTATCTCAAAAATAATAGATTAATCGTAAATAATTGATCAATCGAAAATAACCGAATAATCGAAAATAATCGATTAATCGAAAATAATCGATTAATCGAAAATAATCGATTAATCGAAAATAATCGATTAATCGAAAATAATCGATTATCGATTATTTGAAAATAAAATAATCGACTAATCGATTAATTTGCCCACCCCTAATGGTAATTAGGCTATTACCGCCCTTAGAGATTGCAAATTTCTCTCGCGTGCGGTAATTATCTAGTTACCACACCTATTAATTATATTAAATAATGTAATATTACCATTTCACCTAGATTTTTTTCATAGGAAGTCGTTAATTTTTACGTTCAGTAGATAAAAGTAATCTTTTCCTATTAAAAATTTCTGAAGTTGTACCAAAGGTTTTACCTCGGGTTTTACCCAGTTTATTTTCAAAACACAAAAGGCAATGCAAAAACTCTTCGACGGCACGAAATGGTCAAAACAATTATTGAGATAAGAATAAATATTATTTTTTTCCCGGGATGTTGTCGAAGCGCCGGCCGGGGGTTAGCGGGGCAGTTCACAGTGTTGCCATGCCATAGAATATGTAGTTGCGATTGCATGAATTGATCCGAAATAATACATTTTCTGTTTTTTTATGTTTAACAAGAATGTACGTGGTTAACATAAAAAATATATTGGTAAAAAATGTTAGTATTTTAACATAGAAATGTGAGAAGTATTTTATATTCCAATCTTTTTTTTTTGAGAGGCGAGATAATTTTTAGAATTACTTTTTTCTATAAAAAATTACTTTTCATTCTTCTGTGATTCATCATCTATCATCCCACCAAATTTCATTGATTTTGATCCAATACTTTAGACGTAAATCAAAAAATAGTTTAACCCGTCGCACAGAGGTACCCAGGCCTCTTCTGAAAATTCTGTTGCTATGTGAAGAGTGACCCCACAATAAAAGTCAAACAGTGAGACAAGAATATGGAGTGGAAAGCCATTAAAACAGTGTTTTTAGGTGCAACTTTACTCAACGATCTTATAATGTAGATACTAGTGGTTAGCTTTTTTGATACATATTCTATGTGGCTTCCATGTCGATTTTTGATTCAACCGGAATCCCAAAAATTCAACACTCTCATTTTCAATCCCATTGTCCATATTCTTGAAGGTAAAATAAAAGGTTTTCGTTTTTTGTTCATTCAGTTTTAATTTATTTCGAACAAATCAGACATTTAAGTTTTCCTGTGTTGTGACCATCCTTTGCGGCGAACAGCAACATAAACAACTCACTGCTGGTTCCCACCCTTATATCATTGATATACGTCAAAAAAAGGATAGGCCGATAGGCCCCAGCACAGAGCCCTGAGGCACACCACACTGGACACATTTCTGCTCCGATTTTTTTTTCTAACTCAACATATTGAAGTTACATTGTTTTTCTTAGCAATTGGGATTATTTTTGAGATTTTTAGAGAAGCAGTGAAGGTCCTTTACTGACTGAGAACCATTCCAATGCCCTTTTCATTTCATGAATAGGTGTTCTTTTTGTACAAGATAGTATCATCCGCATTGCCTTATTTTGTAGCTTTTGAAATCTTTCAATTTCATTTTTCTGGAACAAAACTGAAACTGTGGAACAGTAAGTATAATGTGGTAACACCAATGAATTGAATAGTAAAATTTTTGACCACCGAGTCAAAGAAAAGGTACATCCTTTTTTTACAACATAATCAGCATGGCATTTAAATTTTAAGACCCCTAGATATTTTATACTTTTCCACAATTTCTCAGCTCATTGTTGTCAATTTTCATTTCAATGCCCTTGCCTAAAAATTCCCTATAATACCTGTCTGATCCTAGTATTATACATTTTGTTTTTAGAATATTGATTTTCGAGCAGTTTGCACAACACCACCTATGTATGCTATCCAGGTTTGCATTAGTGTCATTTCCCATGCTTTCCACAGATGGAAAATAACATACTACATCATCAGCAAGTGAATGGATCTCAATTCACATTCTATTATTTAGAAATTGTTGTTGTTTTTTGCTAATCTCGAATTTTATCTGACCCTCGATTTGACCTATCCAATATGCTTTTTCTTTAATTATTTTCTCAAATTTTGTCATATTTATGCAACTTTTAATATAAATTCTTGTACCACCTGTATGCCGATTTTCGCTATCCACTCTAAAAGTTTTGTACCCCATTATATCAATCTCCGCATCCATCATTATGTTCTCTCCTCCTAGCGTTTTATGGTTTTGTTTTCTGCTGGGCCTGTTCGGCGATAACTTTTCTCTATGTACGCTAAAAAGGCATTTCGCGGCCTTCATATATAAATTTCACTCCAGCTTTAAATTTTGAAATTATGACTGTTTTCTGGTGTGGATATGTCAGATATTCCTAAATTTAAAAAAATATATCAATTCTCATGATCATCATTTGAAAATTTTTTTTGGAACAAATATTTTCACTTTTATTTTAGTATCCAATCATAACAGCGATGGGCATCCTCAAGAAAGCTGCCGCCGAAGTAAACACAGAATTCGGGCTGGATTGTAAAATTGCCGAAGCGATTTCACAAGCCGCCGACGAGGTGATTTCGGGAAAACTATATTGTGATCACTTTCCTTTGGTAATTTGGCAAACCGGTTCCGGTACACAGACCAACATGAATGCCAATGAGGTGAGTAACAATATTTTGATCAATTTAGGTAAGTACCTACTACATTTCAAAATATGCATTTATGTGATACACAAGATGTTTGGCAATAAATTATGTAGTTGCTTGGACTATGTTAGTTAGGTACTGTAAAAAGATGTTTGAGAGAGAGAATCAGATATGTAATAATATGTGAAATTTAAAAGCAATTATTATTTTACAGTCACATACTTGAAATTATAAACTGAAGATTTTGAATATTATATTTGATCTCTGTTACCTACCTATATGTTCAGGCAGGTTTGTTTTTTATATTCCTATTTATTGTATGTTCAAAAAGCTTTATGAGTTTTTTCTTTTTTTTATCCACAAATCCTTAAAACTTGTTAAAACCAATCTCTGGATAGACATCCAATAGTTCTAATGCGCGTATCACATCTGTGCATTTTTCCGTGTAATTATTCATGTAGTTCAGGGTGCCAACATTATTTTGTTTTTCATAATGCTGATTTATGTTGCGTTTGAAGTTTTTCGGTTGTCACCCTAAACTACATGAATAAATACACGGAAAAATACACATATGTAATATGGGCATAACATGGTCTATGGTAAACTGGACATTTTGGTGGTAAATTTGAGTTATCAAAACACTTTCGCATTTACTCAAATACTCGCTCAAATATTTCATTTTTAGATATTATTGAATAATAACTTAATTATGATATTAATTTCTTACCAAATACATTGACTTTTGACCTACATATTTCATAATAATCATTGCACACAAGTAGAGTAGACTGCCCGTATGTGATTTCATAAGATGCATATACAGGGTGTCCCACGGTGGATGGCGTATTAGACGTTTATGGAGAACTAAAAAGCGGATCATTTTGAAAATTTGGCAACCGGGATAAACGAGCATGATCTACACTTTAAAAATATTTTTGACCATGTGGTGTTAACGCTTCTACTCTAAACTAGTGGCAACATCACTATTTTAAATGGAACACCCCGTATTAAATTGCATATTTGGATTCTACGTAAAATTCTGAGCAGATTTCATGTGATATACCCTATACCTAAGTTCAACTGTTTTGGAAATATTGACAGTTGAAAATTGACTTTTTGCAACTTTGACAGGCTGTAAAACCTAATTGGTTAATTCTAGAGGAAAACCGATTTCACATTCCTATCTTAGATTTTGATAAACTATCATTTGACACCAACTTTGAACTTAGCCGGAGATTAAATTTAACTGAAATTTTTAATCATGGATTTAATTCAAAGATGGTGTCAAATGATAGTTTATAAAAATCTAAGATAGGAATGTAAAATCGGTTTTCCTCTAAAATTAACCGTTCAGCAGCAGGACTCTGTGTCATGTAGAATTCTATCAGTCGACAAGATTCTACATGGTTGGCACTCTGTGCATCAAGAATATCGACAAAACGCGATTTATTTTATAATTTCATTTCTACATCTCGAGACGTGTTGAATACTACTGACGCATGTGCATTGTGAAGTTTCATGAATGACACTGACAATTGCGAAATTGTTGTTGATATTCCATATTTATATTGAGAAATAATTATTCCATTCCTATTTCTTATTTATTCAATAATATTTAATATGTTCATTAGTTTTTTTCGAGCAGACGCCGGTTGCCGATTATATTAATAATATTAATATTATCGTCATTGTGATGAGAGTGAGAAGCGAAAAACCTGGAATAAAACACATATTATGGTTAAAATCTTTATAATAACATTTTAGAAAATCAGTGCATAAAATGACGACAAATCAAATTGTTTCTTGCTTGGACTCCTGCTTGCATAACGTTACATTATATGGTACCTCGGTACCTGAATGTTATCTTTTCAGATATGAGGTTCGGGGACCATTCAGTCTCCCTTCTGAGCAATTATGTAAAATAATACAAACAATAACAAAGCGCTCAACTTTTTCTGGAGCATGCCTCAACACTTTTGAAGTACACACAAATCTTTATTTAACCCAGATAAAGCTAAAGTCCTTTTAAAAGCCCTTTGGTAGAAATCTTCTTTTTCCCTTTTCGGCACAGACTCTTTGGTTAAAATACAGATGGCAGTGTTATATTCTCGTTTGGAACAATATTGCTCTTAAAACTACTCGGTTTATTACCGGCTTTGACGTTGCGAGTAAAAGTTGTGAGTGATTATTTATTGGAGATTATTGAAAAACCAAAATGGCGAATTGGCGGTAAGTAAATTGAAAAAAAGAATAAATTATTTGTAAAAGGAAAATAGTCAGTGAGATTTATAGGTTTTTATTGTAATATTTCTTATTTGGCGCCATAATTTGATTTTGTAGGAAACAGTATTTTGTAAAATGGCGTCGTCCTTTTAAAGGGACATTAGCCTAATATAAGTAATATTAGAATATCTATATATAAGTTAATTTCTGGTTGTTTTTAGAGACCAACGACCGCTAAAACTACACGAGTTGTTGGAAGAACTTGAAACTATCGAAGATGATGATTCTCAAGAAATTTCTATAACAATATTTCCACCGGAGAACGCAAATGGGGCCATTACCGATGAGGATTCAGGAGAAGAAGATAACGTGGCTATCGACAATCTTCCAGGAAGTCAACTCAGGGTTTCTGCAGAGGTAAATTTCACTGGGGCAACACATCCAGAACGAGAAAAATCTGAAGAAGAATCTTCTGATGAAGAAGACAACTTACCATTGTCCCATTTGGTTCCCCTAAAAAAATTGAAGTCTTTTCATTGGGTCATTGGTCAGGATATTCCAGAATCAGATTTAGTCTGGAATCCGCCACAGACGGTCGAAAATAACAAAAATTGCGTTGAAATTTTCAAAGACTTTTTCGACGATTCGCTTATTACTAAGTTATGTCAATTTAGCAACTTGTATGCGTCTCAAAAAAATCGGGAAGGAAATATATCTGAATCTGAAATATGGTGCTTTTTGGGAGTTCTTATCTTGAGCGGGTACTGTCAGTTACCTCGTAAACATATGTACTGGGAAAATGCAAGCGATACCAAAAATGAGCTAGTACGTAGTGCTATATCACGAGATCGTTTTAGGTACGTGATGAAAAATATCCATTGTTGCGATAACAATAATTTAAATCCTAATGATAAGTTCGCAAAAGTTAGGCCATTCATGGATGCTCTAAATAAAAAGTTTCTGGAGTTTGCACCTATAGAAGAAGCACACAGCATTGACGAGTCAATGATTCCCTATTACGGACGACATGGGACCAAGCAGTTTATTAGGGGAAAGCCTATCCGTTGGGGCTATAAATTTTGGACAGGTACTACCCGTCTTGGCTACATTGAATGGTTTGATCCTTACCAAGGCTCCTCGTGTATGATTCCACATAAATATAAAAATGTAGGACTTGGTTCCAGTGTCGTACTGCAGTTTGCTAACGAACTCCAAAAGTATTTTCCTAATTTACCCTTTCATATTTACTTTGATAACTTTTTTACGTCTCTCACTTTACTACATCAGCTAAGTCTTAGAAAACTAAAGGGCACAGGAACCATAAGTGAAAATCGAGTTGCTGAAAGTATTCTTGGTCCGTCAAATGAACATAAAAAGAAAAATAGGGGATCTTATGAATTCATGAATGATCCTGACCACCAAATTATTGTGTGCAGGTGGAATGACAATAATTTAGTTACTTTGGCGTCAAACAGTACCACCGTGAACCCTATTCTACAAGCAAAGAGATATTCTCAGAAAGAAAAGAAAAGTGTAATGGTTGACCAACCTTATATTGTAAAAAAATATAATGAAAATATGGGTGGGGTTGATAGAGCCGACCAAAATATAAGTTTATACCGGGTATCGATTAGACGCAAAAAATGGTATTTTCCAATTATTTGCCATCTGTTGGATATGGCTGTTCAGAATGCTTGGCAGTTACATAGAAAGAGTAATGGAAAAATGGATCAATTAGCTTTTAGAAGAATAGTTGCTCAGAATATATTGGAAACTCATAAGAAACCAACATCTTATCAAACAGGAAAAACTGGAAAGAACTTACATCAATCTTCACGTTATGACCGCATGGATCATCTTATTTGGTATAGTGAAACACAAGTCAGATGCAAATATTGTACGAAAAAAGTAAATTTCACATGCAATAAATGTAAAGTTGGGCTTCATCCTAAAGAATGTTTTCACTTATATCATACACAGCAGTAGCATCAATTCCAGAACCAAAACTTCAAAGAATATTTCATTTGTTTCAAAGTTTGTAATGCCAATATTATATATTTTTAAATATTAACATGTGTATTATTTCAATACTATATAAAAGTATCTACCTAGTCAATACAGCTAAAGTCCTTTTAAAAGGACTTTTAATTACCCAAAACATAATAATGACAGATTTTTTTAAATATTTTTTTATATGTTCTAGGAACCCCAAATTCTCAGAAATACTCTCAAACCCAAATTTTCTTAAACTTTTTTTCATCAGCCTTATCTGGGTTAAACACACCGATACAATTTCGAGTTTGGATGTGATTTTGGTTATGATTGAAAACAGTCACTTGTTGGTGGTTGAGCATCACTCATCACTGGATATTTTCCAGATAAATATGTTCAAGCTTCTCATCTTCTTCAACAATATTGTTATTTAAATTATTAATGGGCAACAAAGCATAATTTTTAAACTTAAAACTCAACGTTCAGGAAGCAAAAATAGTTATGGTATAAAAAACAAACCAAATAATAACAAAAACGAACTTCACACAAACTTATTAATGACGTATACAGTCAATTCAATAATTAATATTGACATTTCTTAGGAATCAAATAAAAATTCCCTAGAGTTTCCCCTAGATTTGTACTACGTTTTTCGAATGGTTAGTAGAATAATGAAAGGATCCGAGAACGTAGCCGAACTGTTGTCGATAGTGACACAGAGTGCCGTTTCAGCCGACTATCGCATTTGAAAATAGATATCTACTATGGAAAGCGAGCTATAGAATTCTATAAAGCACAGAGTCCCAGGGCTGCGTTCAAAAACGACTAAAGCCGAGCCAAAATTGGCATATTGCGTTCAAGTTCGGCTCCAGCGTGCCAAAAACGGTTGGCTTTACACGTTCCAAATCGGCCGCGGTAAAGTAACTTTTGGAGGCTCTTTCAACTGAGTCTAGAAATGGTTATACGAATTTTGATTGGATGAGACCAAATTCAATATGGCGTGGCGGCCAGGCAAGTTAGTTTTGAATATGGGTTTTCATGCATATTTCAATTATTTTGTTTGTTTGCAGCTTCGATTTTGATTATTCAATAAAATATTTCTTAACTAAGTACGTTAACTATTAAGTCGGGCAGAAACTAGATATTTTTTGTGTTTTTTGGTCCATGTATGGTCGCCACGCCATATTGAATGTCACGTGGTTTGGATTGCATAGTAGTTGTATTCCTTTCACACCTAGGAGGAGCTCCGGAACAGCTCCGGGGCTTCACGCGCTTATTCCTTTCGAAAAGTGTTTGTTGCACCACGCATATGTTCCCTGCAAATCGGGGGCGACTAAGCACCGAAGCGAGTAGCTCGAGTGTTTCAAGCTCTTGCAAGGAATACAACTATTGAGAAACGGTATTTGGCGTTCCAGCAAATTCACACCAGATTTGGCATCGCCGGTAGAAGGGGAATAGTAGGTTTTGGCATTAGCATTGCCGTCTTTGAACGCACTCCAGAGCAGGTTCTACAGCCTGTCAAAGTTGCAAAAAGTCAATTTTCAACTGTCAATATTTCCAAATCAGTTGAACTTAGGTATAGGGTAGGTTCACATGAAATCTGCTCAGAATTTTACGTAGAATCCAAATATGCAATTTAATACGGGGTGTTCCATTTAAAATAGTGATGTTGCCACTAGTTTAGAGTAGAAGCGGCAACACCGCATGGTCAAAAATATTTTTAAAGTGTAGATCATGGTCGTTTATCCCGGTTGCCAAATTTTCAAAATGATACGCTTTTTAGTTCTCCATAAACGTCTTAATACGCCATCCACCGTGGGACACCCTGTATTATTTATTAAAATATGTATATGATAAACCCAAAATGAATGTGCATTTACATAATAACATAATTGCAACAAAACAACGATTGTGTGATGTGAATATTAATTTGAAATCTTGTCTTGTTTATATTTATATCAATCAATCAAGTCAATTTTTTTCATGACATTGATTTTTTTGTGAGTTGGGTCATTGCTTGTATATTTTTCGGTTTTATTGTTGATCTTCTTTTTGTAACAGTGTGTGCATTATTTTATTTACACATATAAATTGACCACAGTATTATGAAGAATATTTTTATTCAAATGCAATGTATTTGCAGTGAAATTAATAATATTGCAGTTGTCCTGATAATACAAATACCTACCTGTTTTAGTGTTCATCTTACACACAAAGTCACAAATTATTGTTATACTTGCTTTTTGTAAATTTCATAATTTTCAGTTGTAATAAAAAAACTCGCAAAAAAACCATATCTGATTTTGTATACTTATTTGAATGATACATATGGGTAGGTAGGGATTTTTCTGTAATGGTAGTGGTTCAATAATTTATGGTTTTAGGTCATAAGCAACCGAGCAATTGAAATCCTAGGCGGAAAGTTAGGTTCCAAGACACCAGTTCATCCAAACGATCATGTTAACAAAAGTCAAAGCAGTAACGACACATTCCCTACGGCCATGCATATTGCTGTCGCAATGGAAATTGAGCATACTCTCATGCCAGGTATGAAAACTTCAACCTATTGCGTTTTTTTACTATACCTAGGCACCTAAATTTAGTTTAGTCAGAAATTGTAAATCATTATTTATAATCAAAAATATTTTCCAGGTTTGAAAATGCTAGCTCAATCACTAGATAAAAAATCGAAGCAATTTGAAAAAATCATCAAAATTGGCCGTACTCACACTCAAGATGCAGTACCCCTATCATTAGGCCAAGAATTCAGTGGCTATGCTACGCAAATGCAGTTTGCTATAGAAAGGTCGATGTTAATTTGAAAATTAGCTGCTTTGACCTTACCAATACTTTTTGTTTGCAGAGTCAAAACAACTCTTCCACGTCTCTACATGTTGGCTCTTGGAGGTACTGCTGTGGGAACTGGCCTGAATACTAGGAAAGGTTTCGCGGAGAAATGCGCCTGCAAGATTAGTGAGCTCACCGGATTGCCATTTGTGACTGCCCCCAACAAATTCGAAGCTCTCGCTTCTCATGATTCTATGGTTGAAGTCTCTGGAGCCTTGAATGTTATTGCGTGTTCCCTTATGAAGATTGCCAATGATATAAGGTATGAAAAATCAGATTTATTTCTATTCCAGTTTTATTAAGAAAAAAATTATACTACTTTTGCTTAGTTTATCTATGGTATTTTTCAACCATGTAACAGATCTCTGCTAATTGAGAGAAGTCTGACTGTTTTGAGTAGCTCTTGAAGTAGTCATGATTTTTATCAAAACAAAGCCAAAATCAACTCAAGTAGACTGAAATCTAGAGAAAAACTTTTCATTTTGATGTGTATAAGTGTTTTAGTCAATTTTCTGCATTATCAATACAAAATCCAAATTTTGTCTAGAACAAAGAGTTGTTAATTCTTCAGATTCTTCCTTGAGGCTAGTAACTGCGAATTACAAAAAGCAAAATTTTGTCTCTGTCAAAATTTCATCAAAAATTTTTCTCAGTAGGTACCTACTCTTAACCGTAACAGTTTTTACATCTGCAAGAGAGAAGAAAAGAAATGATTAACAAAGATAGCAACAAAAGCACAAATTACGCAAAATTTATTTAACTTCAAGTTTGCAATATTTTGACACCCTTTAGACTTAAAATATTTTTTACCAATAGATAAAAATCCGTGATGCGCAGTTATGAACTAGTCTTTAACCTCTTGCCTGAGAGATGATCAGATCAAAACTGAATATTTAGTATGAGATGCTGGTCATTTGCATAACAAAAAAACCACAGGATAAATAAATTTCAATTACACAAAATAAATATTCAAACATTTCTTTCAGATTCTTGGCTTCAGGACCCCGCTGTGGTCTTGGTGAACTAATTCTTCCCGAAAACGAACCAGGAAGTTCTATAATGCCAGGAAAAGTAAACCCGACCCAATGCGAAGCTGTCACCATGGTGGCAGCCCAAGTTATGGGCAACCACGTCGCAGTTTCTGTCGGTGGATCCAACGGTCACTTTGAATTGAATGTATTCAAACCCATGATGTGCGCCAATGTATTGAGATCCATAAGATTGATTGGTGACAGCTGCAAGAGCTTTACAAAGAACTGTGTGAATGGCATTGAAGCTGATAAAGAAAGGATCGATAAACTTTTGCACGAAAGTTTGATGTTAGTCACTGCTTTGAATCCCCATATTGGTTACGATAAGGCCGCTCAAATCGCTAAGACTGCGCATAAGGACAAGTCTACTCTCAAGGCTACTGCAATTAAGTTGGGTATCCTAACTGAACAACAGTTTAATGAATGGGTTAAACCAGAAGAAATGTTGGGACCTAAGTAATTTGTTGATCGATTTATAATATATTGTTGCTTGTACTGATATAATTATCATTTTTTTATTGTTATATATTTCATTTGTGTAATATAAATTTTTTGTTTTATATACAAGTTGTAATAAACAGTAATCATCTCTATTTCACAGTAATCCTATTTTAATGATAAGGTGTTTTCATTCGGGCTTAATGGCCGTCATAAGTTGGAATTTCTTCCTAACATTTTCCGGCAGGCGGTTAGAAACTCTCCATGAAAGACGGATCTCTCTTTAGATTTTTCGGATTTCACAGTTACATGTAGGTCGGTTTTATCACACTCAGACCAAGTTGAACCGAGTTTCCGGTCTTCGCTTTTGTTCAACTACCTCACCCTGAATCAACAAATCCTTCTTCATCATAGCTATTTATTTAACAGGTTACCTAATAACCATGGCTCTTGAAAGTTGAACTAACATTGCATAACATGGTTTTGTGTGTGGATGTAGACGGCCTATTTCTAAAACAGTTAAGCTTACATTTCATGCATCCGTCAATCCGTTGATCCGGAAGTATTCCTATTGTCAACTAGCTGCTTGGGAAAGGAGGACCCGGTATTCAACCTTATTAATTTAATTGCCGATTCGATCGAATATTTATTGCAATTCAGCAATAAATTAACATAAATTGCGCTGCAAGCCGCAGCAAAGGCAGACTTAAACCAGTGCAAGTACCTCTCGTTGGAAAAGCCCCTCTGGAATTAAGTCTCCCCAGTGCAAGTACCTCTCGTTGGGAACGCCCCTCTGGGTATCTTCAGCCTTATCGTTGTCCAGTGCAATTACCTCTCGTTGGGAACGCCCCTCTGGACAAGGCATAAGGGTGACGATAAACCTATCTACAGTCCCCCAAGCAGAATTGACGTGTGGCCCCCTATAAGGACCCCAGTGTACGAAGGGTCATGTACCTTATAGGATTAGCATACATGTAAGGTTATATTTGGGAAAATATATAGCATATATTTTTATATAACCTGAGCGAGTTTCTCTCCATCTACCCCCAAAGCTACAAACCCCCCATGTCACCCCCGTAAAGCGGGTAGTTGTGACACTATTGGTCCAATATTTTGGCGCTAAAATATTGGACCAATAGGAATACTCCCGGATCAACGGACTGACGGAAAAACGGATGCATGAAAAGTAAAGTATCCAAGTTTCTTACATACTGTGAAATGGGGTGTGGGTGACTTTGCCCAATTCTGAATTTCAAATGGTTCTTGTTCCATAAAATGTTGTTTTTTCTGGAATAAATGCGATACGTCATATGTTTTGGGACATCAGAGGCTCTTATAATCTGGAATAAAAAATCCAGGGTCGTATTTAAAAAAATAAAGTTGATGATGGTGGCCCAAAGACGAAACGTCATATTTTAAATTTGATGGTGGCATCTTGTAGAGGAGAAAAAGTGGCAACGATGAAGTGCCATTCATTTTGGAATATTTCTTCGAATAAGGTAAGGAAAAAGTAAAACCATTTTGGGCGATTTTCGGTTCTTTAAGCCACCTCCAGGGGCGGATGGGCGCACCGGGATACCGGGAGATTTCCGGGTGCGCCGGTCCTTAGTCGCCGTCGGCGCCGCCGCGGGAAGTTCGAAAATGATTGAAAAAGCAAAAAAGCCAGATAGAGCAGGCGCTACAAGTAGTTGAGTATGCAAAATATGAGGACCGGCAAAACTGCTCAAATTCGTGTTCCTGTGATCTTGAAGAATGGGAAAGTACATCTTGCCGGCAGCTGGAGTGGTCCCTAACTCTCCTGCCATTTCCCAACGCAAAGTTATATGGAAAATATCACAATTTCAAGTAATTTCACAATAATTCCTATTGATTGTACCTAAGGCTTTCTTTTCAAGCACTGAAAATAATTCTACCACTTGTTGGATATCTTTGCAATTCTGCTCCAAAATATACAGTTAGTTAGTTAGAGAAGTTAGAGAAGACTTCGACATGTACAGGGTCATCCAACGAAGACTGAACAGGGGCTTATTTTTGACTTTTCCTGTTCCTGTAGTTTTGAAAAAATTCAAAATAGCCAATTGGCATATTTTTTTCTGGAGAATTCAAAAATGATACCAAAAAATCATTTGAACTAAAAACTAAAGAGTTACGCCATGGATTAACTGTTTTTCAAATGAAACACCCTGTTTTTTATATAATTTCTGGAAAAGTCGCCCCACTGAACAAAATAAGATTACAGTAATAATGAGGTAACATTACACTGCAAACTTGTAAGGTTATATTGAAGTTTACTGTAATGTTGACGCAGTATTGCGGCAAGTACTGAAACAACCTTAGGGTAATATTACAAATGCAAGGTTTATAAATGATAACCTTTCAGCAATATTACTGGAATATTAGATCAAAACTTCAGCAAACTTACGAGTGTAAGGTTAAAAATTCAAATATACCTTAGGGTTACTTGCAATTTATTAGTAAGTTTACTGCAATATTGCATTTTTATTACAAATATAATGGGTTCGCAACTTTACTGCAATAAAAAAGTAATGTTGCAACTGTAAATGCTATGTATCTATACAGAGAGATTTGAGTTGCGGTGCATAAACTCTAACAGCTTGTTCTAAAAACAAGCTGTTAAAATTTGTGCCTGAAACCCATAATCATATATTAGGTAGATATTTTATTATGAATAAAAGTACAAGTTTTTGGAAAACAAAATAAAAAGTTGGTAGGTATATTATGTATATCTATAATACTCACAATAAAAAAATATACTTAGGTGAAAAACAAAACGTGAAAAGTAATATCTCAAAGCAAAATAAATAAAAATTCTAAACAGAAAAAAAAGCGAAATTTTAGATTGGTTGACACACAGGACGAAGTAGGTACTGGCTGCTACCACAGCTGCTACTTATATTGTCACCTGAAACAAAAACAAAATCAGGGAGTAGTTCTGTATTTTTATTATAATAATTATTCCCGGTCGTAGCCACTTTCTTTCTGGACATTACCTACCAAACGGTTTACGATATTTTTGATCATAACTAAAATATTATCGTAAAATCATAATAAGTAATATAATAATAATACGGGATTTGTGGGTATGAAAAAAAGAGGTTACGGTTTACAAAAAAGGGGCCCCATTCCGCAGTATTTTTGTAAAAAGTATTTATTGACTATGCAAACCTTACTCACCTTATTTGAATCCTCATCCATTGTAATCGCTGTATATTTATTTCATTTCCACAGGTTCTAAAATAAAAACTGAATAATAAAAATAACCAAAAAGCAAAGCACTACCTGGGGTCGTATTTTCGAATTCATGCGAGTAGATTTCGTACACGAAAATTGATTGACAACAATGTAAATTAAATGGGAAGCATTCGAAATCTTATCAAATTTCGTATGCGAGAATATTCGAAAATACTACCCCTGAACCGATCCAATACATAATCCCAACACAAACACCAAAAATTTAGCCGAGATTCGCTTTATCATAGACACAACATTCAACAAGCAGACACAGCACTCAACTCAAACGACAAACAGCGACTTGATGGCGTCGATTTGCTTTCGGGTTAGTTCGTATCCCCGATGTCGTTCCGATCGTTATTAATGGCGGCAAAGCTTTCGATTTTCGAATATATTATTTCTGCTATATTGCAGCAAGTTTACATTCAATATTAAATTATAACATTGCAAAATAATATCAACACAACTTTAAGGCATCTTTGCGATGTAACCTTACCTACAAGTTATATTTCCAATTTTGCAGCAAGTTTACATTTGGTAGTTATTATAACATTGCAAAAATTATACCAGTTCAATTTAAATGCATATTTACAATGTTAATTTGCGTAAAAGTTATAATTTCTAATATGCGTTAATATTTCAAGGATATTCCATTTTGTAATTTATTAACGTAATGTTGTGTCAAAAATAATTCAATATTACATTGTAATGTTGCGAAACTAAGATCAGAGCATATCAGAGTAATATTGCATTAGGCTTTCGTAACATTGCATGTTCAGTGGGGCATTTTTAACGATTTGTCACAAGCTTTAAAATAATAATAATAATAATAATAATAATAATAATAATAATAATAATAATAATATTAAATGCACCGCTGTAGCTATGTCACCATACATATACCTCTCGAGCAATGGACGGAAACCCAGAGGGTCGTGAGTTCAAATCCCACTAGCAATAGCAAATTTTAACATACTTACAACTTTCTATTTAAAACCCTGTCGTCTTTTTCACCACAAGAGCAAACTGAATTAGAACTATAATAGTCGTTAAAATCACACATAGCATGCACTCCATGGAATTCCTTTATAAGTGAGAGGAGAGGGGATAGAAAAAAAATGGACCAAAAAATGAGCCGGCAAGATCCGGATTCTTAATCTTTGAGCTTTTCTCAGCTACAATCCATTGATAAAATGCGGTCCTCATATTATGCATACTCAAGTCCGTCTAGATCCCGGTCTAAGATACAGATAGCTAATTTTTTTATTGATTTGACAGCTTGCAACTTTGCAACTCCTGGAACTCTGTAAATCATAAGTATCCATGCCGTAAGCGCCCATACCATTCCAAAAGTTCCATGGCAAGTTCATTGTTTGCTATGTTCCGTTTTGAGGTGTTTTCACGTTCGTCTGCCTCTTTCTATTACCAAACAAGTACCACTTTACGAGAAGTTCTGCGTTGACGTAAAGGTAGATTTAAGTACGTACGAGACGCGTAAACTACCACTACAGTTTAAACAAGAAAATACGTAAGAGAAAACGTATCTTTGCGGCTGCACAGAGTGTTTGTTGGCGTTTCCATATTTATTTTTATTCATTTAATTGAAAATTAGGAATAAATTTAGGTACACAGAAAAAACATATCATTCAAATGAAGTAAATTTTGCGTCCAATGAAGTAGATATGTTTTTGATATGGTCGAAATACCTGTAAACTTGAGTCAAATTGATAATGTTGTTGAAAAACAAAGTGTAAAATTTGTTAATTCAAACATGAACTAAATTGAATCAACTTAACATTAATTAAATGAATAACTTGAGAACCAGGACTCAAATTTATATTTAGTTACATCAAGTTTCTCTTATCTTTGAATAAAGGTATTAATAATATTTTCAATATTCTCTATATTTAATTC